CTCAAAATTTCAGAAAAAAAAACCCCAGAAATTTAAAGTCATTGTTACAACATAAATCCAAGCTCCATATGTGTACTTGTCAATGCAAAACTGAACTGTGTGATCAAGGGTTTTTGTTTTCTTTTTAAAGGAAACGTGACTATTGCTCATCTTATACAAGAGCTGGTTTTACTGTGAGGTTCTGCCATGAACTTGCATTTCCTATTGTCATTGAGGCCCTTGCCTTGGGAGCTAGGATGTAGGTAGAGCAGAGGCTGGGAGCTGCAGCAGAAAGGACAACCATACACCTGAGGCAGCTGGAGGTCCTCCAGCATGACTGTCTTTCAGCTTTACACAGGTCCCTTCACCCAAAGACTTGCCACATAAATGTGCAGTCCTCATTTTATAGGAGCACTAGCTTGAGAGCCTGAAGGCTAATTAATAAAGGTGCATTTATATTTATTGTAGAAGGCAATGGGATTTTTAAATACCATCATTTAAAGAAATGATAAATAAATTTCTCATGCTTTATACTTTAAAAGAAAAATCACACCATAGACACCTCAAGCTAAGAACCTTTAATGAGTGGACTTCATGTATTTCTGTGTTAGTTCCACATCTGTAAACGTAAGTAATCACCATTGTTATGTTTCTCCATGATATGGTGATAAATTACTCAGGCATTGCAACAATAAAAATGAAAGGACCCATAAGGAACTAATGATACTTCATGTGTGGGGTGGCGTGGAGGGCTGTGCCATATAATAAATGTGTAGTTATTTATCATACAGCACTGTCACACCTTTAATAAGCAGATCAACACAAAATACTGAGATATTGACCAGCTGACTTCCAGCTACTCCAGTGCACCGTATCAGGCAAAGCTGTCAAGGAAAAAAATCAGACAGTCTTTAATTAGACACACATTTAAAACAGAGGAAATTAAATGGTAATCTTAATTCAGTAATTTCTTAGCTTTTAAGAATTTGGAACTATGAGAACATTCTTTTATAGCAGCTCCCATAGCTCATCTTCTCTTTACACAGTGCATGCCTCCCAGGCTAGGAATACCCATGGACTGAAGCAAACAGCCATCTACATCTGAAATACCCAGCCCTCAATTACACAGCATCTTACTTCATGCCAAAGCTGTGAATACAAATATTGAAAACATTTATGTTGCACATTTGGGCTGAACTTATACCTAAAGATGTGTTCCATCCTATGCCTACACTACTATACAATCAGACCTAAATCTCAGCAGGCAGGCAACAAGGAACAACGTCTTAAACCAACTCATGTTTGTATAAAAGAGAGTACTCTGCTTGTGTGTGGAGTCAAAATTAATTAGCTTAAGACACTAGTAGAGGAATGGCCTTTTGGTCCCTAGGACTTCTAAACAAGTAGCCAGGAGGGTGACCTGTTTAGATAGCCCAGCCTTGGAAACAAGCACAAGCCTGTCACTGCAAACATCCCTTATTACCCTCTGTTATTAGACATCAGACACGACAAATCTAGGGTGCTCTCAATGGTCTGCTCTGAAGTGTAAACCAGGCAGTAAGATAGTGATCTAGGAGAGTGGCTGTACTTAAAAACCTGCTATGTGAAGCAGGGTACCAGAAAGTAGCATGTAAATGTCTGCCTCCCATACATACAATAAGAGTAAGTGCTTTAGTCCGTTTCTGCACAGGACTCTGCAGGCAGGCCAAGGCTTGCTTTGCTCATGATCCAAGCCAGGTCAGACCTAGGCTGGCTCTGACCCAGAAGATGTGCAGCGAGGCTGGAATGGTGCTGAGTCTAAAGTAAAACATCCCTGTCCCTTCCCTTAGCACAACTTGTTAACTCGGACCCAGAACTGCACACAACTGTGGTTCAGATAAGGTTTGTGTCCACCTCATGTACCAGCAAGACCTGAGGCTCCCAGAAGCAATCCTCTACCGCTTGCCTGCCACACCACTAGCTCTGTGCAGTACTAGAATAATACTGACTTGACAATGCTAGGTGAAATTAATTGCCAGCAGAACACGATTACAGAGTCCAAGAGGAAATAAATTAATTACTTTCTCTGTTGATTTTGATCACAGTTCTGGCACACTTTCATAACGAAATTAAGCAAACATTAACTTCTGCAGGGTCAGATATTCTTATAGCTGATAATTCTGTTTTGCTTATGATGTATTTTGTTCCTGGTGGGCTCAGTCAGTTGGACTGAGCAATATTAATAATGTTCTGTATGCTGAAATTAACAAAATATTACGTGAAAACATTTTTCTGTATTTTTTCAAATAGATTCTGATAGAACTCGCCATAAAATAATTTGTTTTTAAAGCAAAAAAAAAAAAAAGTGATTCAAAAAACCCAAGGAAGTAAGATGCTAAAAGCAACACTTTAGGAGTAATTTTGAACTAAATGGACTTGTTCTGAAAATGTTAAAGTCTGAACTTTTGACTTTTGTCCATAATTTTGTTTCAAGAAGGCAAAAACTTCCATAGAAGCTAAATTCTGCATTCGTACTGATGGAAAACTAGTCATTTATTTCTGAAAAAAACATTCCATAGAAATGTTTAAATTGTTCCCAGAAGAACACAAGAAGAGTCATGCTAGTTCAGGCTAGTGATCGATTTAATTAAACCTGTTGACAGAGAAAGCAAGTTCACGAATAATTCATTTTGCCTAGTCTTACAAGGGCACTACTGGCATTGTCAAAACAGAAAATTTAATGGCATGAGGTTCACATGCTGCTCAAAATACAATGAATTTAAAGACAGAGAGTAAAGGAGCTTGATAATTTTATTATGCACACCCAAACAAAAAAGTTTTTAAAACTGATTAAATCAGGATATTTTCCTAAGGATAAGGTATGATCCTAGCATTATTCTTACTGGCAAATTTAAACATCTTGAGTCAAATTCCTGAAATAGTAAAGAGTTGGACAAACTTCTGAAAAAAAGGGCCAAATCCTTTTTGTTGAAATAAATTCTCAAGACATGAGCATCATATCTTAAGGAGACTTGAATTTCAGAAGTTTTATAAGATCAAGCCTGCAATTTTTAGGGGTTGGGTGAAAAAAAGGTGGAAAACCATACCATTCAATAATAACAATAATAACTATACAGCTAGGAAGACGGTTTATGATTTACATAATCACAAGAAACGTCAAAACACTGTCTTCCACTTTAGAATACTGCCTTGTGTTGTACAGTAAAAATTTTATACCAGCACATTTTTTCCTTTTATTTTTAAGTACCCTAATGAGAAAATTATCTTTCATTAGGTGTGATAGCTACCAGAGCAAACTACAAGTTATATGAATGGATTCTCTCTGTATTCATATATTAAGATCAAAATTTTCTGAAATATACACTTCAGCGAAACAAGTTAACAGACTCAGTAGATGGCTGATCAGCTAAGATTCAATGGCCTATGGTATCAAGAATGGAGATTCAAGATGCCCAGTGTTCCCTTTCAGTCCTAAAAAAAAAGTACATAAGCTGAATTGTATGTAGGAACTATGGCCACGTGTTCAGTATCATGAACTAAATATTAATCATTTATACTTCTTATTAAAAAGGCCTTGTCACCATTTAAATTTGGTTTAAGATGCCAAACATGGGTCTAGTTATCTTTTTCCGTGAGAAATTTGGGCATTGTCTGGCACCTGACACATTTCTTCTCACAGAGGTAATTCTCCTTGTAATCAATTCCCTTCTCAGAACTTACTGTTTTTACTTTCTTTGTTAAATAAAAAAAGGCATTTAAAATAGGCTTGATTCCACCCTTCAAAAACATCTCTATAGCTAGCTGTCATGAAAGCACGGGCACTAGAATTACACGCAGTACCAGTCACACCTATGCTGACTACTCTATATACGCTGTATTCCTCACTACTACATTCGTTCAAAGATCACTTCAAGGTACTTGCCACTGCACCAACCAGATGATCACTCAGCCTATTAACAAACCACTGGATCCTTTTCAAGAACCATTGCTTTCTATGAATTTTCTGTTGGCATGTACTGCACTCTTTATTCCTATGTGTATAACCTTGCACATGGTTGCATGAGAATGATTTTTTTTCAGAGAATACAGTCTATAAAATGCTGTGAAAAGACTGCTCTTTGACACAGAACTGACGCAGTGATATATAATATTTTCCTGAGCAATGATTTTGCATTTACTTCTAAGTCTGATGAAAATGTTGAATGGCACCAGACTTACTACCACTTTCCATAAAATGTCACAGGAACTGCTTTTCTAGATCTGTTGCTTAGTTTTTAGTCCCTTTAACATATGCCATCTTTGTGCTGGCCAGTGCTAATTTTTAGTTAGTTTGCAGGTCACAATTTTTAACAGCGTGTTGATTCCGTCTAACCAGTTACTTTCATTATTACATGTTATTTCATTTGTGTAAGTTCTATTTTCCACAATACAATCTTAATATAAATCCTTTAAAAATGAAGTAACCATTATACATAGGCACTACAGAAATCTGTAGCTAACTAGAAGAGTCCAATAATCTGTCTGTGCTTCCTAATCTAGCAATGTGGCTGTAGGTCCAGCTCATGTTTCAGCCTTTGAAGGAAGCTGTATCACGAATGTGTATACATGGTTCAAGCAGTGCTTGTTACCTATTACTTTAATAACTCACCCACAACTCTATTATGCTAGACTTTTCAAGATGTTCAGAATAATCAGTGACTCAGAATAAACAATCTCAGCCTGACCAAGAACCCATTGAATCAAGGTATCATTGAATTCTTTCACAATTACTCAGGTGGCCTTTGGAACAGATCCGCTCTCATCAGGTTGTTGACAAAATGATGGCTGTTGGAAAACAATTATTTCAAAAATTACAAACCACCCTGTTGTACAGAAAGTATGGGATTCAGGAAAGATGACTGTGGTGAACATCAGTGTGTGCAGAAAGCAAAAAGTATTTTATATTGTATGCACTATAAATTTACATATAAGCCCATATCAAACAGCAATAAAATGAAACAACCTCAATCAATCATCCTTACCGATTCAAAGCAAAAGCATAATGAAATTTAATGTTGTGTTGATCAGCCAGATCACAGGTAGGAAGCATTTCTAGTGTTTCTACCAGCTTCACCATAGCATCATAGTCCTGGTGTGAATTAAGAGAAAAAGAAAAATGAAAGAAAATAAAAGAAACAGAGAGCAGAGGAAAGCATCGCTAAACTGAAATGTGTCATGACTGCTAGACAGTGGCTCAGCTGCCCTTCCTAGAAGAGTCTGTGTAAGGAATTAAACAGGGATTTCGTCCATCCATCTCAGTACTTGGCTCTTCCTCACCTCAATGCTACTGCCAAAATTACTGAATCCCTCTGGCCAGTTTGATCGATTACCTCCCAGCACAGGGAGGAGCGGTGATGAGTCTGGCTCTTTCAGGCCCCATTACAGACCTCTGGTGAATGACACTTCATCAGGTCATTGCAGACCCAAGCACAGGTCACTCTGCAGTATGCCAGCCAGTTGTGCATTCATTTTGGTTTCTCAGGGGTAACCCTTATATACAATGCTGAATAGGCCAGTTTACTGACGTCACAAATGGCCTCACATTACTTTGTTTGTTCAAAGCAGGTTTCCAGATGATTACACTTCTCAAGGAAGATCTTTCAAAAGAACACAAGTGATCACCAGAGGCGATCAAAATGAAGTCAGATAAAGTGCTACAGAAAAATATACATCTCAGAATGTAAAGTTGGGTTACGCAGGTTGATGTGGTCACCCACTGCTCTCACAACCCATTTATTCTTATGAAATAACTAATTTAGCTCCTGATGGAAAAAAATTTCCATAGAATGTTTGGGAGTATATTTTAAAAGGGATGTCAAACACACAGATTAGCAGTTTGGAAATACAGTACACAGGCTGTGTTTTAGAAAAAGCAGAACTTGTATAAAAAAAAAAATCAAGAAAAGAGTTGCAATTATATTTAAAACACAAATTAATGTTTCTTTGAATGACAGTTCTCAGCCTGGGCATCTCTGGCCAATACAGTGGCCACAACAAATACATTTTCTTCATTTTTAAATATATTTGACTTCAAGGGTGGGGAAGGGAAGGAAGGGAAAAGCAAACGTCTCGCTCAGTAGGGGATTTTTTTTGTTGTTCTTAAGGCTAAAAATTACTAAAAACAAAGGAGGAGACCTCAGGAAGTCACCTAATCTATGTCTCTTGTTCATAGGCAAAATAAATAAGAGTGTAAAGCCCCTTAAGTTGCACAACAGACAAACTGTTAAACAATGGAACAATTTACTGTCAGCTTTGGATCACTGTTGAACAAAAAATGAAGTACAGAAGAACAAGAGACAAAATCCCATGGTAAAACAATCTTGCTTAGTCTTTAGGGACATACCTGAATATCTCTGTAAGAAAGAAGAAGGTTTATGACAATGTCAGAAGTCAGCACTTCAGTATTATCCATACGAAGCTTAATCCTGGCCAGTTCCTTAGCCAGTTCATCTCCTTGATACTTCTCTCTTGCTTTTCTAATGTCATTTAGCAGTGTTTCTTTATAATAGGCACTAAAGAAATAAAAGGTAAACATACGGGAAGAAGACTGTTAGATATTTCTTACGCATGGTTATATTTCTAATAAGAAGCATAACTTACAACAAAAAGTACCATTTCCTCAGAGTGAGGTGTACATCAAATGTTTCCACATTAACTCATTATATATATTCCACTTTGCCCCATCTCAGACTGTCGGGATATGTATCCATACATTTACAACCAGGATTGTGAGATTGATTGTGAGTAACAGGACAGACATTTCTTTGCCCTGTTACTGACCGTGACAGATGTGGTACTTTATCTGTATCCTAAATAAGGCAGCAATTGGGATAATAAAGTGACATAGAGAGGAAAGACCAGTGTGATGCAGGGAGAAGGTAGCTCACAAAAGAGGATTTTAACAAAGAAACTAAAACAAAACCACCAAAAGTTGATTTGGTTGCAATCTATTTGATTAACATAATAAATAATGTAGGCAGGATCTATGTAAAATCCCCCAGTAAGTGCATCTTATTTACACTAACATCAGTGCACAATGCAGCACAGGAGCTTTTGTGGAATTAAAAAAAATCACACACCCATTATCAGTACGACAGTTATAAATGACCTGGGCAGGCTATTTAGAGGTAACTTTATCTGGAGCAGCTTATGGAGTCTATAGTTTGGAAGTTAGCAAATGTCACCTGACAGATGCTCAAGTGCACAGAATGCCTTTTTTGTTTACAAATGAGCATTGCAAAGTTTTCAGCTTTGCTTAGCACAAGCCCTACCCATAGCAAAGAAAACTAAGTTCTCTGTCTGATGCACATTATGACTCACATATGAGGTGTAAGATATGTTTATAATGCAAAGCAGCAAGGCCACAGTAAGCGCTATTGGAAAGCTTTTAGAAGTTGTTCTACTGTCAGAGGAGGTCAAGCCTAATTCACCATGGATTTCCAGTCTCAGCTTTCTATCCAGCATTGCCTTTTACCAGGCTAATGAAAATGAGTTCTTCTTGTGCTAACCAAACCAAAGGGAGATACTGGATAATCTTTTTCAAAAGTATCCAGATGACTTAGGAATAGAAGTCTCACTTTCAAGAATGATGCAACACTTCTTCAAACTTATTCAAGCTTTTGGCAGGAATGAGGGATCATCTAGCTACATCTTTCTCTTCACAGGGATCTACCACAACAGTGTCTAATTCTGCAGCTGTACAAAAGCCCCTTTCAGACACTTCAGCCTGAAAATGGGAGAGAGAAAAGACACTTTACTGTAGGACTTCACAACACAATTATCAAACCAAAATCACCCACAACCCTGGTCATAAATGTCAGAGACAAAGCATACAGTTAGCTTTGGACAGCTGGTGCCCAGAGTACCATTTCAAAATGACGCAAGCCCTACGCGGTACCAAAACTTATTACTACCAGGATCAACTATGCTACTAGTTTCATGAGTCTGTACTGCCAAGCATAGCTCTCCTGTATGCTGACCAGCTTTGCTGAGTTTCTGCCCCTCCTCTTGTCCCTTTCCTCAAAGTGGGCTCATGTTGCTGGCATGTAGCCTCCCCTCTAGCACTGCATTGGAGAAGCCTGCACTTCTTCAGGCCAGCAATAGCCCAGTCACTGCCCAGCAAGGTGCCAGAGAATAGCAAACCTGCTATGGCTGGAGGTGTAAGGGACAAGGTGTGTGTGGGCAGGGTCATCCACAGGATCCTAAGAGTGGGACCAGGTGAGAAAGGGAGTTTTTTAGGTGAGCCTTTCACTTGGGTGGGATGGCAATGAGGAAAAAGAAAGAAAGAGGGCCCTCACCACTACCTCATGCTTCAGACACTAGGAAAAAGAAAACCTAGAAGCTCAGTCTCTCCCAGTGTTTTCCAGAAATACCAACAAAATCAGACTAGCTGCAGAGTACAGGGTGAGCAATCAAGAAAGAGATTTCCATCTCCAGCCCCAATCCTCAGAACTCCAACAGTCCCTTGTAGAAATGGCTGAACATAATGTTTATTAGGTAATATCAGAAGGGTAACATTAAAAAGAAAACCAACCAACCAAACAAAACGAAACCAAAAAACCAAACCAAACCATGGGAGTTACATTTGATTGCCCATTGCTGCCATATATGTGTATATATACATATATATATATATGCAGAAAAGGACAGTCTTTGGTTTTGAACTCTATGAGAAGACTGTGATCTTATCTCATGTAACAACCTTATGTGCTGTAATTTATACTTAAGTACTTTACCTTACCCATAGCCTTTGCTTACTGATATTTCAGAAAGTAACCATAAATCACTCTCTAGCATAACATGGTTTGTTAACTGCAACAGCTGCAGGACATCAACACAGAAAGCAGTAAAGTTAGCAATTGCTTTTAACACTATGTCAAATGCAGTGAAAAATAAGAAGTGAAAAAATAAATCAATACTATTAGAGATTTTGCATCTCTTTTCATAACATTAAAAAGAGACTATCAAACATTCTGGAGATGTATGTGTTGTAAAATTACCATGATGTAACATGAATATCCTTGAGCAGGCTGATAAACTTGTCCACCATTGGGACACAAAGTGGTCCCAGGATATTGTCCCAGTTAGGTTGCATATACTCAGAAGCTCTTCGCTGGGCATCGCTTTCACAGCAAAAGTAGTCACCACAAGGTGTGACGATGTATGGAATAAAATAATAATTGCCACTGGAAGCCTAAAAGAGAAACAGGCACAGTTTAGAAAACAAATTAAATTGGAAATATGCTTGTGTATGCACAGAGTCTTTTGCTGTAAGAAAAAAAAAAGCTAGATTAGGGCTGGGGCACTGTGAAGCTTTAGGGCACTGCTTAACACAAGATTTGCAAGCATTAAATTCAAGGAATTTTACATGGAAGAGTTACAAATATTAACAAGGGTGATGCGCAGAGCCACAAAGATGATGAAGGGAATGGAGCATCTCCCTTATGAGGAAAGGCTGAGGGAGCTGGGTCTCTTTAGCCTGGAAAAGAGGAGACTGAGGGGGGACCTAATTAATGTTTATAAATACGTGAAGGGTGAGTGTCAGGAGGATGGAGCCAGGCTCTTCTCTGTGACATCTAGTGATAGGACAAGGGGCAATGGGTTCAAGCTGGAACATAGGAGGTTCCGCTTGAGTATGAGGAAAAACTTCTTTACAGTGAGGGTGACAGAGCACTGGAACAGGCTGCCCAGAGAGGTTGTGGAGTCTCCTTCTCTGGAGACATTCAAAGCCCGCCTGGATGCGTTCTTGTGTGATCTGATCTAGGTGTCCTGCTCCGGCAGGGGGATTGGACTAGATGATCTTTCGAGGTCCCTTCCAATCTCTAACATTCTGTGATTCTGTGATTCTGTGAATAAGGGTCCAGATCTGTTAAGAGACAACACAATGGAACTGTTCAATTTTTTTATGTGATGTTCAGAACCTAAAAGGGTCTGACAGTTACAAGCTAACCTTCTGCTCCCAAATTTTTTGGGTCAGAGATGTACTTGCATTCTCTAGGCTCAATCTGTGCTAGGAAGGATATGATGCAGAGCTCCCCACAAAGAGATAGATAAATACAGAAACACAGGCATTGGAAGGACTTTATGGAGATGTTTAACCCAGAGGAGCCTACAAAATATCTGCTGCATGCTGCCGTCAAACAATAAACCAACCAACCAAACTTTGAAACATTTTGTAATATATGTAAGACTTTTAACCCAAAATTCTAGAAATAAAAACCAAAAATCCTCAATATGCCACATAAAAATTGTAAACATGATCAGGGTGCTGAAAGGGGAGAGGAAACAGGAAATGCCCTTCAGAGCCCAAAACCAGCAAGTTCAGAATCTTCAACTCCTGAGCAAGACCCAAAAAAACAGACAACTGTGAAGTCTTCCACAGCTACCAGAAGCACCAGTATCCCATTTTGAGCTACGACAATTCTCTGCCGTTCAAAAGAAAAGTAAACTTTGCATTTCAGAGTAACTAGATAGGAGCACTGAAGTGTGGGTCAGTATAATACATCAAACATAACCAACTACTGCTAAATCCCCTTCAAGTGCAACCTTTGGGATATCAAGGCAGCAAATACATACAGCAAAAACATACCTTTAATTTTGTCATGTCACCTAAGCCTGCAGTAAAGCCATAGCCATTTAAAGTCACCTTGAACAATGGGAGAATGCTGAGATGATGGAAAGAATGGATATGAAAATCACACATTTTTATATGCATTAATAAACTACACAAGAGAAATTAACTGTTCACAGGAAGTAACAATGTAGGGTATGCAGCTACTAAAAATACAGATGGAAAAAAACCTGTATCAGTGACATCCTCTGCTGACCTGAGTCTGCAAGGATATAGAATTTTAAATGATTTCTAACAGATAAAGACAAAACCACATTTCTTCCTCATAAACCATACAGTACAGCATCTCTGTTGTAACAATATAATTATCTTTTGCAATGTTATCTTTACTTCTTACTAAAAAAGTCAGAAAACTACCAGTATGTTAAGACAATTTAGTCTCAGGTTCATTCAAATAAACATTGAGTTCAGTGCAACGCAAAAGCGTCTTGTGTATAAACTCTTCTTAAACCTGCGACAGTGAATTAGCTCTTCCTGCAGTGGAAAAAAAAATCCAATTTGAAAGTATGATGTATCTAGTGATGCAAAGACAGATGCAGTTATCTACTGAAAGAGCAAAGCAATTTTCAGAAAAAAATTAAATGACGAGTGTGAAACACTGTAGTAATCTTATTCAGCCAACGTTTCATCTATTTGGCTTTGATTTCTTCCCTTTTTTTGTATAGCGAAATCCATGCAATTAAACTCATATTTTTATCCACGACAGACACATTTTTGTGTGCAGAAGTCAGGAACCCTGCACGTATTTGAGCATTTCATCTTGTCTGAAAAGCAACCAGCTCCAGTTTTCTAGCATCTCCTGTCCAATATTTACATATAATAAATTATAAAGCTTCTTCATACAGGGTATGAGGCCTTTCTAAGAGAGTCTTTCTTATCCTCATTATGTAAAAACCAGTTGCATCCATATACTTTTCTTACATCAAGGACTAGAAATGGCAGAAAATATCATCCTTGCTTCTTCAGACTGTCTACTCAGGAGGCTGGTCTCCGACATCAAAAGCTAATTAATTGTGAAAATTACTGTCCTGTCATACACCAGCTATTGCTTTTTAAGAAATAAATAAATGGCACAGGTGTGTTTGAAGTAACATATATAGCAATTCTAGCTGCAAATATATATAATCTAAAAATTATGACCCATGTAATTGTATATTATAACTTCATACCTTATAAAGACTGCATGCTGAGTTGGTTTATTTCAAGATCAGTAGCTAAGCTATTTTTATTGTCTTATTTTTAGAAATTTTTAAGTTAAAAAATAGAAAAAACAAGCAGACTGGAAAAAAAAAAAAGCTCTCACTGGCTCATCTTCCAGCAAATAATGTATGCCTAATATTCTCACAATGAAACTTTTCTATTCAATCACAACACTTTAAAATCTACCACAAAAAGAGCCAAAGTTTTGGAACATTTAAAAAAAAGGGGGAAATAGCTGCAAATAAATTGAGAGAGGGACTTGTTCTTCGGAGGACAACAGTCAAAGGAATTAAGCACAGAGCCATGCCTTTGCTGAAGGGTTGAAAGATTTAGGCACTTATGCCATTTTTAGGCTCTAGACAGGCCAAATTTAGAGGGGTTTTTGTCTTAAAATACTCCTCTAAACATTTTGCTGATGCTGTTAAAAGCAAACTCCTGACCTTAATAACATAAACTGTTTTTTTTTTTAATTGTACTGCTACAGTTATTCTGGTGCAACTGTCACTTTGTGACAGAGACGCTACACTAGAATTACAGGGCTTTTTTTTTCAAATAAATAATGTTGAGTAAAATCTCTGCATTATTAGAGAGGGAACTATGCCTGCACAGCTAATAGCACAATTGTTTTGCTTGAGCCATGCAGCTCATTTAGCTGCTTACTCAAGCATCAAGAGTATTAGGAGTGCTTACCCAACCTTACAAAACAGTTAGAAGGAAAACACATGGGATAACACAAAATGACCCACATTCACTCAAAGAAGTCACCAACTTTTGAGTGTTCAGGGAGTTTAATCCACCGTTGTCTTAACAATGAAGGCTTTTACAGTAGTCTTCTGTGACATCACATTCCTATCCATCTTGCAATACAGGTGACTAAGATGTTATAAACTTTCAAAAAATACTTCCTCTTCTGAAGTTGAATATATGCAGGATTTTTATGTAAAGACTGTGGATAGAGATTATCACAAGCCAAACACTCTAAATTATTGGGATCTAGCTTGCAAGGAATGAGTACTCCAAGATTACAACCACCTTGAAGGAAAGACCCTGCCAAGCACTCTTCCTAAAGGATCCTTATACATTTTTAAATGCCTAGAAACACAGTAATAAGATGGCATATCTATTCATCAGAAAGCAGATTTAAAGTAATACATACTTCACCTCTCAGTTTACCACTGTGGTATTCAGGGGATACTTGAACCTCAAGAAAAGCTTTGTGGTTGGCAGCTTACTCCAATTTGAAACAAAACAGCAAAGAGGAAAACGTCACCACAAAACAGCATAAGAATCAAAAAGACAAATGTGACACATTAATAGAGAAATTATTAAAGAAAGAAACAACAGAAAATGTGTACAGAAATAGCAAGTCCATATTTAAGAGGCCAAGAAACCAGTGCAATACTTTGCCACCCAGAATGTAAGACTTCTCTATCTATATACATGATTTGTCTATACCTCTCCTTGTGTCATCATTAAGATGCTTTCAAGTCTTACTTTCATGAACATATCAGATTCATTACCTGGTTAGTTAACTACAATCCAACCAGTACAAATGTGCGTCCCTTGAGATAGTAACATTTCCATGAAAACTAACTTTCATAAATAAACTTTAAAAGTCTTAGTTTTCATTATATTACTAGTAACAGCGGCATATCTCATTACTAGAAACATTAAAGTTTATTGGGTTACCTATTGCCTTTGTACTATTCTCCCCCTAAAAGGAAAAATGATTGTCTGTATTTAAGACATTCCTACTCCTCTTTCATCCTGTGACCTTTTACAAACTCTCTTAATACTTCGGTTACCTCAGGCTTTTTTAGAAATATATCATCAAATGACCACATCACATAAACTTTTATATATTGTAAAAATAATCAGCAAATAAAAAATAGAAAGTGACTCTGCAATACTACTTCTTCAGATTATTAAATTCATATAATGTAATAATAATTTAGAGTCTTGGCTCTCATTTCAATCCATTGGGGTTACTAAATTGGTGAATATGAGTCCAAGTGCCAAAATCTTTCTGTTTAGTTTTCTTAAATGTTCATTGCCTTGAAACAGTAGATACAGTCTAATTTATACAGCTACTGAAACTCTGAAGAGATTTTCTGCCAATTATGTTAAAAAGCGATTTTTCAACATAAAAAAATTCCTTGTGGCAAGGATAAATTGCAGTCCTGTTCCCTTTAGATCACGGAGAATTTTTGCTAATGACTCCTGCATGGCCCAGATACTATTCCCTGCTTACTATAAGAGCTGCTACAGGATTTAATGAAAAAAAAAATTAAATTTCTGAAAATACTCCACCAGGCCCACAGGCCTAAGTATACTATAATAAACCTTTTGGTTTAATAGCCAGCTTACTCTCCTTTAAATACCTTCCCTGAAAGCAATTAACAGGGTTATTCAAATTTCTTCAGGCTTACCATCAACTAAAGAAAAATTAACCATTAAATCTTTCTCCTTATATTCTGTATGTGCCATAATAATTTTTCCAGAGTGGCAAGTTCTAGTTTGTATTCTCAGTGCCACATTCGAACAAACCACATGGATCAAAGCACCTATCTCAAACTATGTGCAACCAATGCTAGAACAACTGCCAGAAGGACTGTACATTTTGCTTCCTGACTCCAGCAGCTTTTAAAAAGCCCCTTGGGCATTTCCTTCACTCAATCTGGGACTTTTTTATGCCCCATTACTTAAAATCCTGTAGAGGGAGAGGGTAGCAACAAAATGTTGCATCAAAATAGAACAACTTTCCCAAGGATTTTGTGTATTGCAGTGGTTTGGGGGAAGACTATTTTTTTAAAGCATTTTTTTGCTTTTGAAAATCCTTGAAATTTCATTTCTCCAGTAAACCAATGTTTATCTGACATCTAAAGAAACTCCAAAGCATAAGTCCCTTTTCCACAGATAAATTTATTTTCCTGTACCCTACAATCCAGTAGCATCCACTGTGTCTCAAACATCAATTTTTCCATAATGACACAGGAAACAAACTGTTCTGCAAGACTGCACGTTTGCAATTTATTTTATTGATGATAATTTTGACAGCAACGAGGAAGCTGCGCATATACCCTAAGTAAAATTAGCAGAAGATGGTCAAAGTTCAGAGGAGCTCTACAGAAAGAAACCTAACTGATAAGATGCAGAATCTTGACCTTGAATTTCATGCCAAGGCAGTTCTTTCTTGGGAACTGAACTCCCATAGCCAATAATTCTTTCCTTTTGTATCCAACTCTGCAATAAATTAGCAATATAAAATTTTAATTGCTTGTTTGGGGGAGTCAAGTGGAACTGAATCACATTCCCCATCTTATCTTACCCCTGAAAACTTCATTCCTGCATTATAGAAGGAAGTTCTCCCACTCTTACACTCTTTTTTTCAGACAGTAAGTTATTAAATCTCTCAGATTCATACCACCACAGCATGGTGCTGTATAATTTTCACTGTTAGATCAGCTGTACTCAGGCCAAATCCCAAATGAATTGCTGACCTTTTTTCTATGCATTGTTTACAGATGTATGTCCAGTTTCCTCACTCTTGCATCCTCCTTAATGCTGAATTAGCATAACAGTTTCCTTACAAGGAAAACATACATTTTCTTCAAGGTTCATTTGTAATACACAAAAGAAAATCACCACAAAGGACACACTAGACATTCATCTCTGCATCTTTAATATGGCTGCACACCTATTCCATGCTATGATGTTTTTGCACCTTTGTACATGGTTTGAGATTTGCAGGACAAATAGCAAAGGTGAGGGTGGGAAACCTCAGAGAAAGCTCCTAGCTACCGTAGCCTGCACAGGAAGTTTCACTTGTGCTGCTGGAAAATTGGTGTGCTGTGCCTGCTAGCAATCTCAGGTGTCCCCTTTCCCTTACACACTGTGCAGATGTGTGGACACAGAGCTTGTAAGATGTGAAGAGGACTTCTCTTCATAAAACCAGCAATTGTATTCCTGGGGCTGCTTTGGAGTTGGAGAAGGCTTAGCAGATCAAGTATCTACCCTCTTTCCAGAATGTTTCCAGACTGTAGCAAAGAGTGCATTTAATCTCTTTCTACTATTCCACAGCTATGGCAGAGGCATACCCACACTTTTTAATCAGGAAAAATGAAAGGAAAATACAAACCTGTAGTACAGGGGTATTAACCGCTGTATTTAATATTCAGCATTTAAAATGAAACGGTTATGTAGCTATGTACTTGATTGAACAGTAAATTTACACTAATCCTGTACCTACTTAACTAGCACAGCATCCCTCATTAGCAATTAACTTCAAACAAGACATTGCCCATACAGCTGTAAAATATTTAACCAAGCAATGAAGCAGTGGCACCATAATGGAGCAACAGCAAACTGCATGCCTCTGACATTGGATCTCAAAGGAGGGGAAAGCAATTGCCTATTTGAAGTCCACTCCAACTTAGAAAACCATAAAGTTTTAACCTATTAACTATTTAGCTTGTTAATTAGTTTGTTGTAATTTCTCTTTCAAAAAATTACAAAAGAATGCAACATGGGACTACATTAGTCTAGTAAAAGAGAATATGAACAACTTCAGATAACATAAAAGGGTCAAGAATCCATACTTAGTATTTAAAGTCATTTATTTTTTCCTCACTGTATTTTATTCACAATTATTTTCTTAATTTAAGCGCTTGGAGAAAGTGGGTAAGACAATCCATCCCTTTTAAAGGAGCGATCTGGATCCTAGTTTCAGGCTGCCTCCCTGCCCCTTTTGCGAGCTGTGTGATGTTTACAGGTCTAATACCGGGCCCTGCTATAGAAAGCACATCACCAAATCCCTTTTCTTCTCTTCCACATGAAGGTAAATACCTCCCTCTGAGGGAGAAAGCATCTGCCAAAAGAAAAGACTGCAGGCTGCTATCCTGATCGTGCTAGGCTGAACTTGCCACCATCCTCTTTGCCTTTTACTCCATTTCTGGAATTGCCACCAAATGGCTCAGCCACAATTCTCCCTCTTGCTCTGGAGGGGAAAACACATGCTTGTGACATTTTGATCACCCACCAGTTGATGGATAGTAGTGTTCACAAGCAAATCTGCTTCATTCTGAGGCCCCCCTTCACAGACCTACAGACCAGTAAATGCAGTTCACACTCTACAGGTGAAACTAGTTCAAAGATCACCAAGACGGACAGGAAAATGACTGGAATTTACTCATGTGCTCAGCCTGATCTATCTTTAGCCTACATGCAGTGCTGTGTTCAAATATAAACAGCAGCTCAAAATAAACTGCTGTGACTAATTCATTATCTCTTCTAGTTCTATTTTAAATTATCGGCAAACTCTAAGAACATTTTATTATTTTAGTCCTGCTCTGTATTCTTCAGAAGAAAATAACATTTTGGAAACGGAAAGGAATAAATGGAAGTTCAAGATTTTTGCAAATTCTGTAGTCCTCAAAATAACAGTGTAGACTGTTTAATGAAAATAACCACTGACATGATGTGAAGTCTGACAAAATATATCACTGCCTAAGATACCATGGCATATTGTGATAAGCCTAAAATAATCACTAAAATCTTGGTTCATGCTTGCTTACTTGTTTGGTTTGACTTGCATTAGACTAAGAACATTTTTACTTTGGGAAATAAGCTTTTTTATTCCTAAGTAAAATCTGTGAATCTGGGAGGAAGAGGATGGGTATACAGTAACCGACGCTGTTTGAGATACAAGAGACCTTATTAAGGCATCACAAACACATACACATTTGCACAAGTGGGTGAAAGTGGTAAAGGGAGAGACTTTGAATTTCTGAGTTTACGTTTTGATCTATCAACCTACACATGTAACATATATCTACTGTAACTTTTCTAGCACTTAAAAGGGAACTTCTAAAGAAAAGTAATTTTTAAATCTAGCTTTACTTTGGAAAGGACGTCAGCAAGATTTCCACTAGTTTGAATTGTATATATGTAAAACAGACTTCCTTCAGTCATACAGAGCATATATATGTCTGGCAGCTTTGTTATTAGAGTTGTTTCAAATGCAGTATCTTAATTTTGTGTTTTAAAATGAATGTGGATTTAATACTTACTGTGTTTTTCTGAGATACCATATCCTGGGGGGAAAAAAAAAAAAAAAGAGAATAAAAATGTTTATTCATTTTTACCGGGAATTATTATTTCCAATAAAAAGAACTAGTATACATGTATACACACACACATACAGATGTGTTCTTCACAGCATAAACCATATTTCCTGCCACAGCACATTCCAAGTAAAGGGACAGATTGACATCAAGAAAAATCTTGGCAGTACAGGTGAGGAAAAAATTAATGACTCAAAGAAGAAACCTATTTAAAGGACTTCTCAGAAGATGAAGAAAGTTGTACTTTCCAGTAACTGGAGTTTCTCAGTTTGGGCACTCCACATACTCAGTCACACTCTGTGCATTTGTGAGACAAAATCATTCAAAGGTGGAAATTTTTTTTTCCCCTGAAAGAGTATCTTCAAGATACCTAGGCCTCTTTCCTACCTGGATGGGCACAGACCAACACACTCCTCCAACACTCTAATTCTTCTCACCTCAAAATCCAGAGAGATACTGAAACTATGAGGCAGATGACAAACTAATGGGCATGTAAACCAGACCTCAAAGATTTCCAGTTGCTGGTAAGTAACCTCCCTCCTTCTAGTGATGGCTTACATGGCCAACGAACACTACTTGCTGAAACTAAAAAAATCTCCAGGTAAGTCACACTAAAAATGTTAGATATAGACTTGTTTCTAAGCTAGGTTATTGGTGTGATTTAACTGTATGTGCTCTGACAAACTAAGATGATTCTGCTTGAGCAACTTCACATCTGACAGCTTGAAATCCCCTTGGGCAACCACTGCACAGAAATGGTTGTGCCCAACTCGTACCCTTTCACCAACAACAGACAAAATAGCAGGGACCATCTAAGATGTTTAGTTCTGCAAATACAACCTTTTTGAAGTGTGGATTATATATTCTTTTATATGCTTGGAACTAGGTTGTTTTTGGCAAGAACATTGGTGAAACTGAAGAGATAACTTTTGGGAGAATTTCAGGATGGTTCCTAAGAAATAAGCTATACGAGGTCAGTCTGCCTGAACTTCACAGATCTTCCCAGTAGAAGTAATAGCAGTCATGACTACTGCCTTTACAATACTTAGGCTAGCCACTCTAAAGAGGTATGCACAGCGATCTAGGCTCAAGTAAAGTAATAAATTCCTGAAGGGAAGGGAAAAGAACCTGAGAGTAAGGAAACACCAGCAGATAGTCGGAAATACATATTAAGGTACCAAAACCTAAACAGAATAACTGATTAACTTAAACCCCTGATAAAATACCTCAGAACAAAAGTGATGGAAGGCTTAGACATCTGAAATATCACATATCTGAAAATTGATATGTCTACCTGGATAAACAAGTATCACCAGTGAAGCTTTATCTACTGCAGATAAAGATCTTTCTCAGCGGGGAGAAAGGAACTCCTCTGAGAACTACCCAGCATCTAACCCCTGAAATGTGCCATGAACTGTTCTTCACTGAAAGACTCCAAGAACAATTGCTATCTTTCTTCTGAAGTATTCCTAAGAAAGGTGTATTAGCATATTTAAATAGTATCCACACTGAACTGGGGGTCAATTGCAGAAGTGGTATCAAGGACATCAGGGTAGGACTGAAGCATGTCCCAGTGCCCTGCTTAAACTACTCTAGCACTTGATCCAGAAGATCTCTTCTACCTGGTTCCAGCAACTTAAATCAAGCCCTCTGATCCCAGAAGGCCAAGGAGGTTATGCAAAAAACTGTGAGATGCAGAAGAGACCAGTGTCAGAGTTCCTAGCAGAAAAAAGATGAAGGCAGGTAACAGCTTTTCTAGCCTTAAGTTACCCAGTCATGTTCCAGTATTCTCAGGTTCCTGGACTTGTCCTTGAGCTTTACATCCTTGGAAAAAAAGCCCCAGAACTGATGCTGCAAAGACTTGTAAGTTCTGGCAACAAACAATCTGAAGACCCAACCCATGGATGCACCTAAGTCTGGAGATCATTCAGCACTCCAGTTATGGAGCAGGTGCTTGTGTATGTGCTTAGCACAAAGTGCAGAAATCAAAGCCGTCCACACAGGTCCTCATTGGGTAGAGACAAACAGAAGAGGACTAGCGTGTGCTTCCAAAACTTTGGCACATCCTTGGGAGAACCAAGTTTATCAGAACATCTGAGTGACAGCATAAAAGAAAAGTAAAAATGTGTTAATGAAAAATAAAAATGAAATATTTCTTTGCAGTCAGGCTTCTTAACAACGCAGGATGAAGAGTTGTATAGCTGCCCACCCAGATTCGGTAGAGGAATGGAGGGCATGCAAGTATGCCTTAGCACATATCCACATGGATAACCTCTTTGAGCAAAGAGTGCGAGGGGCTCCAGCTCCGAGTTCTTGTGACTCCAGGTCACGTGGAACACGAATGTGCATGTGGACCTGAAGAAAGAAAGTATAGGATACTAGATACATCAGAGTAAAATCGATGACATTGAGAGCAGAAAAGAGGAAAGAGAAGATGTGACAGAACAGAGCTTTTCTGGGAAAAGAGAAGGAGACTCATACAAAATTAAGATTAAACTTAATATTCTTATAGGATCAAAAGAGGTTGGAGAATTCCAGAAAGGAATTCTGGACATTGGTGGTGTGAAAAATACAAAGTAGCTAGGGGCAATAACACAAAATAAGGGAAAAAAAGCAAGCTTGAACAACACTGCTCTCAGTGAAAGCAGCAAGAAAATGGATGATATTAAAAGCAGCAGTAGGTGATGATACAGAGGATAAAAGTCTGAATGTGATCTAAAACAAACCACCTGCATTGAGAAAGAGAGAAACATCCACAATATATGACTAGCATCCAGAACAGCAATTTCAGGACTTAAGTGTGTAGCATGTATTATCCCACTATAAAAATGAAATGCATGGCTATAAAAAGATTTGGTGAAGATGTCTTTTTTATCTTCAAATAGTAATAAAAAGGAGATTCCTGTAGTCTTAGCAACTCAGCACCTAGGAGATACAAACCTAATTCGACAGAAGCATTTCAATAGTAGCAGTAGCTTGTAGTACAGCCCTTGTTGAAGCGTCTTTATTATACAGGCCATAACACTTTTTTACATGTACTGTAATTAAAAGAGGGAAAGGAAGGAAAAAATCAGATCTGCACTTTCACTTCCAAGTCTAACCATCTGAAGCAAAGTCAGTACCCTATTATGGACCTTCTCTTACAAACAAGCTTTTATACTATTCTAATTGTTACTACTTTTGCTAGCGGCTGCTTTTCTTAGCATGATTTTCTTATGTAGCTATCAGGAAATCACATTCAATGGAAGTTTCAGAAAAATACAAATATTTGCAGGATTAGGTATTTAAATATATTTCTGAAATGAAGCAGATTTTGAAGTGAGAACCTTACTTTGAGAGACTGAGCAGTGTCAGCATCAGTGTCATGGTAGAGTATAACATTATTAGCCATGTCAAAGCTTTCACGCACGCCAAGGTGGTAGAACAGTGAGGGTTGCTTGGAAATACCACTCATGTCCACAACTGCAACATCTGAAATGAGAGAGGGAGAGGGAAAAGTGCCAAAAAAATAATCATCTTAAACCCAATTTTATTCTTGCACAGGATTTAAAATCAATCTTGAAATTACACACACATTTGGTCAGACAGAATCTGTATATTCAAGTAAACAAGATCATTTTCTCACAGTACAAGCAAGTTTTACCATTCATATAGAGAACCTTCTCAGGAAATTATCACAGTGTCACAGTAACCAGAAGGCAGAGTTTACAAATTCTAGTTGAGGTTTTGAAGTCAGTGCATCAGGAATGCCTCCGGTGAAGAAGCAGTTCTGTGTTTGTTGTCTGAGCCAGGCCTGACAGCCTGAACACCCCATAGGATGGAAGGCTCCAAACCTTCAGGTGGAACCTCTAAGAACAATAATGTAGCAGAAAATTAGGGAAAACTGCAAGACCAAGTTTATCTTAAGAGGCTGAGGTTTGGAGAACTAAACAGTAGGGAAAAAAAACCACTATGAAAGTTCACCCTTAAAAGCTACAGGCAAGATGTTCAAGACGGGAGGGTGCAGGAATGAGAGGATTCAACCACAAGTAGCCAGAGCAAGACTCACACTGCTCTTGGGCAGTGTTCCAGCCAGAAACGAAAGCAATAAAAAACTTATGTCAGTAGAAGATGACCTGTACAGAGAGCTAAAGAGAAATATCCCATATTATGCAGAACAGCTAAGATACAGGCAAAAGATTCTGAGTTCACCGTTTGGTTCTCATATAAGCCTGAAGGCCAGTACAGAGAGAAGAGGCAACTGGAGAAGAGGATGCTTAATGCTGAGGTTTTTTTCCTTGGTCCTTATACCCACTGCACTAGCTAAGAAAACTTTGTTTTAAAGACTTTTAAAGGTCTGTATCTACATGTCTGTCTGCTTTCACTGCTATGGGATAGATGGATGAACTTAAATCCAAAGTATTCATAAGACTAGAGCCTTGGCATTGAAACCACAGGGGAGCCTGAGATTCAAAACAGATTCCAGAGACCCAGTGTAACTGGGCAGTAAATCCTACATCTCTGAAGGGGTAACAGTTGGTGTCTGTACCTATGGGGAATGACAGAGAAGGGTGAGCTACTAGTAAACAAGAAATCTTGAAGCAGATCTGATGTGTAAGATACAAACACAGCAGTCAGTTTACCTGGCCTTCACTGAGGTTACACATCACAAGAATCAATACCACATATCTGGAATACAAATTCTTGGAAAAGCCTGCAATGAGCATACGATCCTGTACAATTCCATCAGGCTATGCCGGGGCCAGCCAGTCACTTGGATTACTAACAGACTCAAGGAACATTTTGAATCCAAAAACAATGACCTGCCTTAAGACCAAACATCACCATTGAAGAGAAAAAAAAAGAAAAACCCAAAACCCAATAAAAAAAACAAACAAACAACTCAAAAATCCAAATATACCTCGCTTTTCCCCAAAAAACCCAAAACCCCAACATAAATCATCACAACATAGTAAAATGCCCTTATTCCTGTGGAATCTCAAATCCTGAACCATCTACTGATGATCCTTCCAGTTACTGTTTAGCCAGCTCTCTACAGCATGGACAAAATTCTTAGTATAGCACACACTGTAGGGTCACACAAGCCAAGTGGGCTTGAAGCAGCAAATCCCAGCTCCATATGCACATCCAAATCTAGATTGCCTCAATATTACAAAATCATTTTGGAAAACAGATTATCTATAAAACAAAAGTTAAGACAAACTAACAAGCAGATCTAGAATCAAATACCATCTAGAAAAAAGAAAAGTCTAAGAGCTTAGATTGGTTTTAGTGCTTGTATAAACTGTTTTTGTGGAACTACAGTGCTGTGAAATAAAAATCACTATCCTGGTAAGAGAATTTAGACAATGTGTTCACGTAGCACACAGATATTGCATTTTACAATACAACACGAGCAATGATCCGTAACAGAGTTTATTGAAATGAGGCTACACACGGTTCATTGCCACATGCAGTAGTCTACAGCTGAAACTTGTCTTCTATTAACTGCTGCTAGGTAACAATGTAAGTAGCACCAGAAACACATCAAATGGACATAAGAACAGAAGTAAGCACCTACATTTAAAAGGGTAATTATTCATCAGTTAGAAGTTTATTCTAAGGTAATTATTCACACTGATAAAAGAAGATTTATGAGAATGCGTTTTTCTTATTTGTTCACACAAACAAACTAAAGACTAGCAGAGGAAATGAAGATGGTATCACAAAAATATGCATGCAAATGAAAAAAAGTCCAGGAAGATAACTGAATGGATCCAATCTGATCATGGGAATCAAGGGATGACACAGAAGCAAATGAGAGCAGACAGAAGCAGAACATTGGGAGTGCTAGTGGCTGTGGGCTAGACCATTCCCAGGCAGCTCTCGAAGCTCCCCTCCAGCAGGAACAGCAGCAGGCTTGGAGAAGGGAGGAAAGAGATCTGCTTACAAACCAGCTCTACTGATGTGGCAATGAAATGTAGCTTGAGTCCAGCAGGCCAGGAAATGAATGCAAATTTGGGTGGAAAACAGATGACCAACAACAAATGCTTATTAAAGAAGTAGATCCCTAAGACGCATTCAGCGCACAGGGTGCTGAGGTTACAGTGTTCAGTGTCACTGATCACTGGGTCTGAGCGCACCACCCAGTACTACTGTCTCTCTTCTTGGTACAGGCAGTTTTGTGAATTGCTCAATGAACAATGCTAATATGTGACATGACAAATATTTCTGTTTCAGTTGTCCTGTATTTTTCTTACAATTTGTGCTAAAATCTTTCATCTACAGTTCTCTAAACAGACATGGGGCCCTGTACTTCAACAACGTATTTAGTATGGCTGACAAGAAACAGACAAGAATTCCCTTAAACTTCCTGAGATACATAAAAATAAATGCTACAACACTAGTAACTGCTTCGCAAAGCTTGATTTATTAATAGAAACATAAGTCAATCACACTTCATCCTCAACTCCCACCCTCCATATCAGGAGATCCTGTTCAGCAAAACATATTTCTGGGCTTCCCCTTCCAAATTTAGGTTCAACCTCCTCCATTATGGAGAAGTCTGAAGCAAGAGCTAATGCCAACTTTGATCAAACCTTCTAATGAAGGAGGAATTTTACGCAATAATGAAACATTTCACATAGGTCTACAAGACCAGTGGGTATGGTTTCCTATGTTCAGAAGGAAAGAAAGCAGGGGGAGATACAGCCCCTCTGGTAAACACAGGCTGGTTCCGAGTGAAGTACGAAGAACTTTACAATGCTTCCACCAGAGGCTGTGGAGGGGTGAGGATGTGCTTGATGTTGCACGTGACCAATTCTGGAACAGAAGACTTAAACTCATTGCTTTGTTTCTGCAGCAACAACTCACATTCAAAAGGGCATACCCATAAAAATGTATCTTCCTCATTTCTTCTTAAGCATAAGAGATCTTTACAACTTTGTGTTCTCTCATAGTTATGCATGAAACTATTTTCATACTGAAAATAGTTCTCTTTTGTCACAAACCCCAAAACTGATTTCACTTTATTAAGTATCTGATTGCAGTTCATTTGTCTGTTTTTGTTTCCCCTGTAAAACAATTATGCTATGTGCATATTTTTTAGTGCATGGAGGTAATTCATCCATATGACTAGTAGAATCTTGATTAGGTCTCTGCAATGTTGCAGCAGATGGCACATAAATAATTTCTTATACTACAGTTTACATATTTTAACACTAGCGTGTCTTAAGAGACCAGACAGAGTAGAGATAAATAACTACGACAACTGAAATGAAGATTAGAGATCATTGTGGTAAAACAGGAGACTATGAAACTAATAAATCATTAACAGGAAAAACATTTTCACACTGGTTAAAACCAGAGGACTTATTTCTCTATCTGGAATGCACCTGAAGGCATCATATAATCTAACGATCCAAGCAAATCACTAGTCTTCACGTGACTGTTGTATGATGTATGGCATTGCTAGCAAAAACAAAAGGAAAATTTTGGCACTAGGTTTTGGGATTTGTAACTTAAAAGTAGTAAACAAGAGAAAATTAAGAAATAGCCTGAAATATGCTGAAAGTTACATGGAATTTAGGAGGCCTAACAGAAAAATGTCAGAAAAAGTCTGTACTGCTTTCAGCTTCTAATTTAAGACTCACCTCCATCCAGCCTTATCTGTGTGGAGAGCAAGAACCTTAGCCCATTACTATGGATTAATTGTTTTTCAGCATTTTGAACCTATCTATACATCATAGATTAAAAAAAAAAAAACCAACAAGCAAACCTTAACATGATAATAGCAACTAAAAAAAAAAACAACAAGCAAACCTTAACATGATAATAGCAACTTTATTGGAGAATATGCAGACCTCTGCCCCTTGTTTTTCAGTAGCATCCTGGTAAATTATGAACCCTCAGATTACAATTTCTTCAGATTATTGGCTCTTTGCATCAGTGTCCTTCAAAGTTAGTAAATAAACAGATGTGTTACCCTTGCAATCCAGTGGAGGAAACTGTTAAAGTTATTCTTCAGAAGAACAACAATGTTCCTAAAGAAAAAAAGATCATCATAACTATCCTTAAGAATCCATAACTTCAGGATGCACATTCCTTTTTTTTTTTTTTTTCCTGCATGCCTACATGGTCCTTTAAAGGAAAGAATAACAAGGTTTTTAGAGGGAAACAATTATGGTAAAATTTGAAGTGCATTTGAAACTAGGAACCCTTTGCAGCTTTCACTTAAGCTAAAATGAAAGGCACAACACTGAACTTCAATACACCCTGTACACCCAGAAACTGGGAGAGGGAATAGCTCAAGGCAATAAAGCATAGCAGTAACTACCAACAGAACTACTAAGGCAGATTTTCAGCACAGTTTGTTACACCAGCAAATGGTCAGTGCCTTCCATTAGATCCTAAGCACAAGCCAATTTTAGTGTAAAACCACTGTCAACATCCATGATGCACTCTCAACGCATTGAGTTT